CCCCCTTTCCTGCAAGAAGCAAGCATACTCACCAGGCATTCTGGGGGGTCCCAGAGATCACAAGGTGTTCTAGAGCCTAATGGGACCTTAAAAATCATCTAGTCCTAATTATTCATTTTACAGATGAAGAAACTGAGGCTCCAGAGGGATGCTCAAGGTCATCCAGGTAATAAGTGGTGGAGCCAGAATTAGAACACAGGCCCCTCTGATTCCAAATACAGGGCTCTTTCTATTGTACCATGGTACAGGAGCTTAGAAAAGGCTATTCTAGGGGTGGGGTAGTCCTCAAGGGCGGCCCTTTGACTGAATCCAAATTTCACAGAACAAATCCCCTTAGTAAAAGGGTTTGTTCTGTAAAACTTGGACTCAAAAGGCTATACCCAAGGACCTAAAGGCTACATGTGGGTGGCCTCAAGGCTGCGGTTCCCTACCCCTGGGCTACTATTCTCACATTTTAGTGTTTGATATAAGCGGTACCTGAATCTTTACTGCATGTAACTAATTCTCATAGCAGCTCTATGGAAGCAGGTTGGAGAAAGACAGAAGTCAATTTTGCATATGGGGAAACTTAGCTACCTACTTATACTCATACACAGAGTCAGTGATAGAGCTTAAATTAGAATCCAAATTTATGTCCCCTGAACAGAAGTGTTTTCTCTTCTAGAGTCTGTTGTATCTAAAGTTAAGTAGATTGTCATCTGCCAATTACTCACACTAAATAAGGAAAACAGTAACATAGATATCAGGGAGTAATCCAAAAAGGCATCAGCACTTAGAATTAATTTAGTAATTATTAGCATTATATATTAGCATTTATTATTATTTATGACACTTGAATATACATTTGTATGACTTCTTGGGTAATTCGCAGAACTTCAAAGAAAACAATGATGATCAAGGAGCTGGAAAGCTCAGCTTTTTTGCCTTCTTCCTTATTTCACCAGGAAGAAAAGGGGCAGGACTTTCCAGACCAAGACAAAGAACTATCCTGAGCTATGTTAAGGTTGAGTTCTAGGTTCACATTCTTATTCATGGTCTCTCTGAGGCATGAAGGTAATTACCAGTAAGTGCTTTGGTTTCAAACTGAGGTAGCTTAGCCTAGTATAAGGAAGACATCTCAAACCTTTAATTCAATTTACTAACTTATTAAGTGCCCAATAAGTGCAAGGCAATGTGCTGGGTGCTAGAGAGGTAAAGATTCAAATGAAACAATCTGTGCCCTCAAGGAGCTTCTGCTCTCCCTGAGGAGGGGTCATGGGTTGGAGACATACAGCATATACACAAATAAGTGTAGGACAAGGAAATTTGAAAACCAAAGATACCTGATGGAGAGAATAAAAATAAGGTCATGAAGGAGGTGATATGTGAGGTGAACCATGAGGGAAGACAATGATTCTGAAGTGTAGAGATGAGAAGGAAGTTTATTCCAGGCTTAGGGGACAGCTCTTTTCAGCCTACTAATCAAAAATGATTTGATTTGGTTGAGTAAAACAGTACCTTGAAGGCTCATCTTCAACAAGGTAGTTTCCCCAAGCATATGTTAGTTCATAAAAGATTCCTCAACAGAGCTAACAACAGAGGTGTTCAATGATCTGCTGATTATTGATAATAAGTGAAGCATAAGATGGGAAATATATGCTTGCCAAAGGTTTGTTACTGTCACGGTTGGTGTTAATAGGTCCAGTGTCGAGTCCTAATGGAAAGGAATTCCCTAGAGCCACAGAGGTCGACCAGATGTTTCTGGTTGCAGATAACATCGTGCTGATTGCATCCAGTCTCAGAACAAAATGGAGCCTCCTAAATGAGATCCATAAATGCTTAAAAGAGTTCAGCCATAACCATCCATTCACACAGGAAAAAACCAAGAGAATGGAGGGGTACCTATTGTCCAGACTATCACTGGTCCATTAATATCTTGGACAGATACTGTAGATGGACAATGAAATGGGTTCAAAACTGAACAGGAGGAAGAGAGCTGGTTACATTGCCTTTGGCATAATGGACAGCACTTTTAATGCCCTCAAGCTTTCCTTTAACACCAGTATCCTTCCAGTGAAGCTTTCTGGCGTGGTAGATAGAAAACTGGGTCTGGAGTCTAGAACATGTGAGTTCAAATACAGTCTTAGACACTTAATAGCTGTGTGACCCTAGACAAGTCACTTGAGCTTTGCTGCCTCAGCTGTCTTATCTGTAAAATGGGGACAATACTAGCACCTTCCTCCCAGGGTTGTTCTGAGGATCAGATGAGACATATTTATAAAGAGCTTCGAAAACCTTAAAGCACTATCTAAATGTGCAAGGCAACATGCTAGGTGCTGAGGATCTAAAGATACAAATGAAATAGTGTATGCCCCTCAACACCTTAGCTAGCAAGCTAACATTTGCTAGCTATCATCACCACCATCATCATCATCATTACTGTTTGTTATTATGTTGTTCAGCATTTCAGTCATGTCCAACTCTTTGTGACCATTTATGGTTTGCCTGGCAAAGATACTGGAGTGTTTTGCCACTTCCTTTTCCAGCTCATTTTACAGATGAGGAAATTCAAGCAAACAGGGTTAAGTGACTTGTCTAGGGTCACACAACTAGTAAAATATCTGAGGACAGAATTGAACTCAGGTCTTCCTGACTCCAGGCTCAATGTTTTATCCACTGTGCCACCTAGATATCCTAGCTGGTATGTTATCATTTCATACCACAATCTCTGAGGAATCAAGAGTCTGGGTCAATCCAAGGGCAAAGAGGAGATGCAAAGTGGGGACAAATAGACTTCAGTGTATAACCAACAATAAATTGTCCACAGTGGCATAAAAGATGTCACTGAAGAGATAGATAGATGCATGACTAGAAAAGATGGACAACTCAGTAGAGAGACCATGAGGTTAGACAGTCCATATGTGTGCTCCACTGGTACTCATATGTTAAGAGATCTAGAGAAAGGCCCAGAGCATTTTGGGTAAATACCCTATGGAGGACATATAGGAGGACTTAGAAAAGAACTGTTGGAATGAAGAATGTGCCAAGTGTCAGATCAATTTCATTCCCTGTGTGAAACTTTCCACCTGAAAAAAGAAGTCCACTTTTTGTTCAATTGATTTTTTGGCTATCAGTGAAAATACTAAATTGAAACAATCATTAATATCATCTTTAAATTTCTTTAATATGAAACTAAAAATGTGAAGGATATATGATGTGCCAACACTCCTTAAATTATCCTTCCTAGGGTTTTCATGAGGTTTCAGGGGGAAAAGAAAACTTCCTTAGCTTTTAAGTGAATATGAATTTTTTTTTATATTCACATTTTCAGTTTCATATTAAAGAAATTTAAAGATTATACTGAAGATTATACTAAAATGAAATTTTAACTTTGGCTCTCATGAGCTGGTTCAGGCTGGCTCTATGATTTTAAATGAAAAGTTCTTTGAGAAAGGGGACAGACTCTTAACATGTTCTTGCATTCAACAGTGTTTCATTCAAATATTTAGTGAATGAAGGAGTGAATAAAGTAATTATACTCTGGGTTGCCTTGGTACATAAGTCAACTAGGCTAGTATTTATGCTGCTGTGATTTAAAAATGCAAGCTGTGCCTCCTTCCCCTGCCCCCTTCCCAGGCAAAGCCCCACTGGGAATGTGGGTATAGTAGAAAGAACACTGGGCCTAGCATTGAGGGACTTGGATTCAAGTCTAACCTTTACCTCTTATGAATTGTGTGGTCTCAGTTATGACTCTTTATACCATTTATATTACTTTATGCCAGATTTAGATCTGCTTTCTCTTTTGTTCAAGAGCCATACCACTATCATAACCTAACATGGTGATTGGGGGATGGGGTGGGGAAGGTGGGAGGCAAAGTCCTACATAAATGTGAATTACTACTGCTACAGCTACTGCTACTACTATCTGGCTTAAAATTCTTACTGTTAATGTTTCCTACAAAGCATTTTACAAAATACATTATCAGAATTCTGTGAAGTAGTATTACAAGTGTTCTTAGCTCCATTTTACAGAAAGGTTAAATTATTTGTCCAGAATCACAAAACTGATATTAAAACTATGAGATTTAAACTTTTAAGTCAAGTTTAGTGAGTTTTTTTGTTTTGTTTTGTTTTTGCAACATCATGCTGCCTGTGGAACTATTATCTCTTGAAGACCACAGCTAAAATAAATGCACCTGAGCCTCTAGCTCTTTCCTATAAACAGAAAATGATTTATCCATTTAGCTAGCTGATGATTTGAAACCAACAGAGGAGACAGAATATAGGACAGATAAATGCCAATGGAGTAGGGTATGTCTGATAAAGGATAAAACACAAAAACTAAGGATGAAGCCTAGTTGAAAAAGGATAAAGACTCAAAAAGGAGAAAGAGGTGAATGAATAGACACCTAAACTACTTAATTGTTAAATGTGAACACATATTAACGTGATATAGTCTCAATATATAGTTGAAAAATGTCAGGTCTGACCATTTCCTTGGAGTCTTTGTGTTGAAACCATCAATCCTTGCATGATCAAACAGTAAAACTTGCCTTAAAAACAGCTTATAGAAAAATAAAATCAGGAGATCCAGCTCCTCCTTTCTAGTGCTTCATATAATGGAAGGTCAGAGGTGTCCATAAAGCAGATAAAGATAAACAGCAAAACTACCAGATGAAAGTAGGAGTCTAACTCCAGAAAAAGGAAAAACACCCCACAAACAACAATTAAACCTTAACTATGTACAATAATTATTTTTGAAACTAGCAATTCTGATATGAATGGTTTGTCAAGAGGTTTTTTTCCTCCTCTGAAAATGACCAGTAATTTTAGATATAATTTTAGTATATTTTCTTAGTGTCACTTTTAAAAATAGTAATTTTATAATTCACTTTTTACCTTCTGACCTCCATCATATGACTTATGTTTACAAAACAACTGTGGATTCCATTTATATCAGTGCCATTACATTTTTAAAACTGCAAATTTCATTACTGCAAATACATAATTGAAGTACTCACAAATGTCCATCGTAATTTCTAGAAGGCTTCCAGGAAACTGTTATCTTTTTCTCAAAGGGGAATAAAAATTCACAAAATAAATTAGCTGTCAGGTACAAAAACTAAAACAAAAACAAAACACAAACAAATCTTTCTGTTTGTTACAAGAAAAAACATCTTAAAATATCTTTACGATGAAATCTGTATATCATAAAATCTCTTGAAACATAGTAACTTGTTTTCTTACTGAAGTTTTAGTCACTTTCCAGCCCGATGTATCTCGGCTGAATGCTAAAACCTCTTGGGAGACTTCATCAGCAAGTTTTTTAAAGTCCATCTATCTGCAAAGTTTTAAAAACAAACGATTGGTAGACGAAACTCATATACAAAGAAATTAAAATATTCCACAGTTATGTTGCACTTTGGCACTTTGTTCCTTACTAATCCATAGTGCTTTGAATAACATAATCATGCTGCCCTTTTCTGTGTCTATTTCCTATCCAAATCAGTCATCCCAGTCTTATCTGGGTGTTCTTAGGAATTCAGTTCAGTTCAGTTCCATGTCTACATGGTACCTACATGTGTGCATGGAGACTTAAAATAATATAAGCATGTTTAACTATAATTTTCTCTTTATTTACCTTGAACACTCAATAGTTCACAGATACTAATTCTACACCTCATTCCAGCCTCTGGCTTTCTAGTCTTTCCTGACATTCTTTCCCGACATTCTTGTAACACACAACTTTTGATGATTTTTAAAAATAGTGAGTGGGTCCAAAAAAGCATTTTAACCTCAATCAGTTCACATGCAGGCCTAGCATTGGCTCACATACAATCTTTATAATTTAATTATCTAATAATTACTAGAGTTTGAAGAATAAGAGGTCTAGTGTCCAGTAGCAGAAGTATGAGGATGGAATAAACTGGTAGCAATGGTAAGCTCTTTAAATAAAAACTATTGTTCTTCATATACAAGTAATGCTAACATGCTTTTGAGTGCTTTTTTACCCTTGTCAGTGATGATGGATTTATTCATCATAAACACTGAACATCTATTGAACTCCTATATATGCAAGGCACCTTTCCAGGTGTTGAGGCAAGTCTTTCCTGATCCCCCCAACTCCTAGTTCTCTCCCTCTCAAACTACCTTGTATTTAACTAATTTGTATGTATGCAAATTGTCTTTGTTTTATTTATATATATATATGTGTGTGTGTGTGTGTATGTATACGTATATGTATATATTCTTATACATTCTTGTTTTCTCTCCCATTCTTGTGAATAGGGATGGTTTTATTCTTTGTACTTGTATCCCCAGCATCCAGCATGCTGCCTGGCACAAAGCAGGTGCTTAATATTTACTATATGATTGAAAACACACGTACATTTCTGCATTGGTAAAGACAAATATGTATTACGCTGCAGTCATGTGCAGTTCCAACAAAAATGAAGAAGAAATAATAATAAAAGTAGTTCCATTTAAAATAACTACCCTGACTAACTTGCCTCTATATTTGGTCTTTGTCAATTAATCTTCTAGCTACTACCTTTGCCTCAGACCTTTCTCCTTTCCTGGCCTTCAAATCCTCACCCCTATATAACACTCACTATCTGATTCCCTTGTTCTTACTCTTGGGCTCCTGAGTGTCACTGGAGAAAGTCCTGAAATTGATCTGATTTTGCCCATTACAAATTCATGGTATATAACCTTGATTGGTGCCTTGCTTCTGCTCAACAATCTCATTCTTATATCATTCCTCACAGCAACTACTTTAAACATTTTCTTTTCTCTTCTCGCTCCCAAATACCCCACCACCTTTAACTCTATGTGACCCTCCCACTTGGAAGAGTATAATCTAGTTTCCCTTCTCAATTTCTCTAACCTTCTCAACTGCATCCATCATCCACTCATTCTTCCTCCTCTCCACTCACAGAGGAGGTAGGATCCCTCTACCTCTGCCCTCATTCTATTTATTCTCTTCTGATTTCTTCAAGATTGTTCCAATCATCATTCTTTCTCTATCATACATCTACGATCTATTTTTCGAATGGATAATTCCCACTTGCTTACAAACATACTCCCCTCTCCCCAATTCTAGAAAGAAAAAAGGAAGAAAAGAAAAAGGTCTTCCTTTGACTTATACCCTTCTATCTCTACAGTACATCTTAACCTAGATGTCCCACCTATTCCTCAAATGCAATGCATTTAAATATGTTCCTCAAGAACTGTTACCAGTTCTGACTTCACTGTCTGTGGCAAAATGTGAACACCCTTGTCTCCAGGGTTCATTACTTTGGGGTTATATTTGACTCTTCCCTCTTGCCCACCATTTAAAGCCAATCAGTTACCAAGTCTTTTTTATTCCATCTCTGAAACACTTTTAGCATCTCTTCCTTCATCATGATCCTCACTCTGACCCCTGCAGTACAAAGCCTCAGTACCATCTATTTGTCCAGAGCCGGGGGGAGGAGGGGGGGGAAACTTCGAGGCCACATGTGGCCCTTGAGGTCCTCAAGTGTGGCCCTTTGACTGAATTCACACTTCACAGAACAAATCCCATTTGTTCTGTAAAACTCGGACTCAGTCAAAAGGCTGCACCCAAAGATCTAGAACACAGGTTCCCCACCCCTGACCCAGCCTATTGCAAAATCCCAACTGGTCTTCTTCCTCTACTTTCTGCTGTCTCAAAGCCAACCTCCATCAGTGCCAGAAGAATTTTTCTTTTGCCTACATCACATTAGGTCTCTGCTTAAAAAGCTTCAGAGGCTCTCTGTTGTCTACAAGATTTAAGTTCCTTTGCATGATGCTCAAGGTACACAAGGTGCTCTGTTGTCACCCTATCTTTCCAACCTTATCTTATAGTATTATATTCTGTGTTACTGCAGCCACCTGGTACAATCCTCTGTCTCTCAATCAATCCCTGAGCTCTCATGACTGCATATCTTAGCTTGTACCATTCCCTATGTTTGGAATGTCCTTCTTTGCCTGTTGAATTTCCTACCTGACCTGTAAAGCCCAATTCAAATGTCTTCATACCCTTTGCTAAGAACCCTTTTATTTTTCCTTTTCGACTTCACTAACAGTTTGTTTTGTACTTCTCTGATGTACGTATCATGTTACATTGTTATATGTTATGCTTGTCTGCATTTGTTTCTTATCTCTCTGCCAAAATGAAGGCTTCATGACTTAGGAGATCACGTATTATCTAAACTCTTTCCACTTCCAGTTAACCTGTCATAGTGCTTTGCATATAGTAGGTGTTTAATAAATGTTTGCTTTATCAAATTTCCAGTGGCCATTGAGGATATGAATTATGAATCCCTATAGATTTTACATATTTCTCTAAAAATAAATATATTTTGATGAATTTTGTTAGTATTTTTGATAATTTATTTTGTATTGTTCTTCTAAAATAAAGGAACATATTCCATTATTTACAACTTAAACCCTAGTTGGAGTTGGGGGTCATTTACATACATTTACAATGAGGCTTTGTTGACACTTGTTGTCCCTGTTTGTCCTTCCTCTGGAAGAGGACCAATGACACCAGGAGAGTGATGTCTGGGCTTGCAAGTGAGTTGGATTTAAGGGAGGCAGAGCTGTGCAAAGTCATCAGCCTCACTCTCTTCTCCAAGGTCATCTGAGTCCAGTGGCAAGACATAAATCAGGGCAACTGGAAATGACCCCAGGTGCAGTGGGAGTCCTTGGCCTTTTTAAGCTAAGGTCTTTCCCAGCTCTCAGTTTATCTGAGGCAAGACCCATTTAAGTGATTTAGGGATAGGTAAGAAATGAGGCAAAAGATGGCCTAGTTTGCCTACTTAAAAATAATCAAGCTGGGAGAGGATGATCCTCAGGGTTTCTGGCTAGAACAGAAAGAATTGCTATTTACACTTACTCTGAGCCATTGGAACCCAAACAATGACCAAGTGAATTTGGGCTGGGACCTACTGTTGGCCAATCACTGAGAGCCAGAGTGATTTGGGAATAAGGCATGGTCAAGGAGCTCCATAGAGGTTTTATCAGAGCCTGATTTTCCAGTGCAGTATTTCAAGAAATCATAAATGAAACTACATGGGACAAAAGAGTTAATTGTCCCAGCTTTTTTTTAAATAACAGAATAAATAAGAGAGAGAAATAAATAGCCATGAACCCCAAGATATCTTAAGAGGTTTCAGTGATCAAAATTTATATCCCTTTGGGCAGAGCATCCACAGTTAAGGGTATGATTCCCCATGTGGACAGAGGGAGAGGAAGAAGAGGAAAGAGGGAAAAGAGAGAGGGAGTACAGAAGGAAGGAAGGAAAGGAAGGAAGGAAGGAAGGAAGGAAGGAAGGAAGGAAGGAAGGAAGGAAGGAAGGAAGGAAGGAAGGAAGGCCTCAACAGGAGTAAGGATATAGGAAGGGTGAAATATGGCAGTTCTTCTGATTACAAAATTAAATGACGAGCTATCTTATCAAGAATTCTAAAAACATAGTATATGGGAAAATTTTTAAATCCTATTTACAGGAAAGATTTTTGGGGAAATCCTTATTTAAACAATAAAACGCTTAATACAATCTTTAAAAGTTATTTGATTTGAAGTTAAAACAAAATAAGCTTCTCAAAATCACATCATTTATTTTATATTTTCACCTATTTGACAACCTTTGTTCTTTGAATATTGGCTTGTGTTTGTCTTAGTGTGTGTGTGTGTGTGTGTGTGTGTGTGTGTGTGTGTGTGTGTATAGGTCTATCTCTATATGTATGCATAGATATATCTATATACATATATATCCAATAGATATCTAGTAGAATGTATATGCATATACAGATATAGATCTTGAATAATGATCTAGAAATCACCAGATTAAGAGGTATTTTATAGCTTTAGACTTTAAAGATCTGCCAAAAAGAAAATTAGAGAATAAAAGGATAAAAAAATTGTTTTTGAATCAAAGCTATTTGATTCTATTACAAGTCAGAGGACAGAAGGGGCAAAACTAAATTATGTTTTACCTGGTGGTATGTATGTCAGATCAGCTGAAATTAACCCATATTTGTCAGAAATTAAGGGTAATCTTTCCACATTTAATGACTGGAAAAAGCTTAAAAAGAGCATCTCCTTTTTAATATCAACACCATTTAAAATTAGGCATCTCTCCCCCACCCTCTTTAACATGCAGACATTTTTTTTTAAATGCAGAGTTTTTGTTTTTGAATAAACATTTGACACAATCCCTCTTCTGACATGCCTGTGACTCCAATCTGAACTTGGGGTATTGTCATCCTTCTCTGGGAGTCAGCTTCTCGAAGGCGTTTATGGAAAATCCAGCACCAACCACTCTCCTTCAGTGCTGGCTCTACCTTGTCAGGCAAGATTCAGGCCGGAGAGCTTGATGCCTAGGAAAGGGTGGGGTGAGTGGGGAGGAGGGAGAAGATGGGGAGGGGTGTTGGGTATCTCTGGATATCCCACAGAAGGGGAGGTCAGTGAGACCAAGTGGGGGTGTCTCCATTTATTGAGGGGTTCTTTTTCTGGGAGGGAGACTGAGAAAGGAGGAAACTGAGGCTCACCTGGAGGAACTGGGGCTGCAGGGCGGGGTCTCTCCCGGCAGCAACAGCAGCAGCTATAGAACCCTAGAGTCCCCCTGGCTCACCTCTTCCCTTCACACAGACTCTGAGATCGGGCAGAAGAAGGAAGGGCCTGTCTCCAGCCCGAGCTGGATGAGGAGCCGCGGTGATGGAAGAAAGCAGAGGATGAACTGGAGGTGGAGAGGAGGGCAGAGCAGGTTGTAGTGGTCCAGTGCAAGAAGGATGAAGTGGGGGGGGGGGTTGGGGAATAAAACTACAACTCCCAGAAGGCGCCGCGCCCAACATACCTCCGATACCCCACATCTCCTCGGTCCAAGCCTCCCACCCTCTCGCCCCCCAAGGCGAACGAATGCCGCGCATGCGTGCAGCCTGAACTCCAACTAGAAGTCGGTTTGAAAGAAAGGGCGGGCGACGCGCCGCCCTCCGCTGTGACGGGGCTGCGAGAGCCTAGGCCAGGGGCCATCGCTGGGGCCATGCGTCGCTCCCGCCCTGGACTTGTGGATGCAACGAGCATCGGCCCGGTGTCACGGAAGTGGGTCCCGTTTGTGTAGTCCTGTGGCCGGGGGACTGGGAGCGACCGGGAGGGCGAGCGGGCGAGGACCGTCGCCTGAGGCCACAGCTCGCGGGGCTCCTGGGGGCTGGGCGACTGAGGCCCCTCTGGGCTCCGGGGGGAGGAGGATGGGGAGGGGGCGGGTCCGAGAGACACGCCCAGGGGCGGGCGGGCTGGGAAGGCACCATTCGCAGGTGGCAGAACAGCGGGGCAAGAAAGGATGCCTGGAGGAGGTGCGCCCCGGGGGGCTGGAGGGGGAGGTGCACTTTCTGGGAACTTTGCATCCCACGAGTCCGGGTGGAGCTTGGTCGGGGAGGGTTCTGTTGATGAAGAAGGACTTAAGTGAGATTGTAGAGAAAGACTCCTGACTTATCAGTTCGTCCAAGAGCTGTGCACATACAGAAGCTTAATAAATGAAAGGAAATATATTTAACAAGTTTTGCGCCAGGAGTTCATACCAGGAAGAGAGGAGATTAGTTATCCAAGGCCCTGAAAAGGAGGGGAAAGTGGAAGGGTAGTAATTGTGAGTCTTGAGGATGATCTGGAGTTAAGGAAAAAACTGGGAAGGACAAATTAGTATTGTCCAAATAGAGGATTGTGTTTGTCCGTGTTGTTTAATACTCAGCTTTCCTTGTTGTCAGAGTTAATGGAAATTTCTCTAGAAATCATTTTACATTTAAATCAATATTGATGGTTATCAATAAAGTAATAATAGTGAGCATCTCCACATATTTGCACTTTCTGAAAAGAGTAATTCCATCAAAAATGATTTTCTGAAACCAAACTGTGAAGGAGTACCTGAAACCCTGTTTTTATTTCATTCCTGGGTCATTTGCGTGTCATAGGGTGGTCTGTTCATCGACTACTAAATAAAATTGAATTGTTTTAGGTAAGTTCTTTGATGTCTGGTGAGCTCTCTGCCTAGTTCAGACCCCACAAAACACCATTTGATGATGCTTCTCAATTGCAACCCTGGGATATGGAAGCAGCATTTTGAGAAACAGGTAAATTCAAGTTTGTGTATCAGTAGGAGAGTATGCTGGGAATCAGGAGGTCAGTAACTTATAATGTAGCTTACCTCGTCCTCCTTTAGCTCTGTGCTTGTAGAAGACATAGAAAAATTGAAGGAAGAGTTTACATCCATCCTATCCTTTCCTTGGTCCCTGCCACATTAGTTGCCAGTCATAGTCATAACCTTTGTCTTTAAGGCAGCCACATTTTGCTTTTTCCCATGTTATCCAGTCATAGAACTTGGGACATTTTTAATAAAAAGTAAATGATTATTAATATAGTTTCATATAAAATTAGGTTTATAAGAAACATTTTAGCTGATAAGTGATTAATACAGGGAAATAAAATTTAATTTCACAACACTACAAGTGGATGTAAATGCTAAAAATTAAATTCCTTTGCATTTTGTACAGCATATTTGTTTATTATTATTATGTTATAAATAGAATAAGAATAACTTCATTTTTTTCTGAGGTACCACAAAGCACTGTTAGTTCTGTAAGGTTGATAGGGATCATCTCTTCATTTTAGTAGTGGAAAAGAGTTAAATCAGTTTATTTCTGAAATACTGAAACTTACTTGAAGGGAAGTAGGCAACATCAGTATTAATATGAGCACTGAAAAAAGTTGGAGCAATGGATACCTATGAAAGATAAAGGAAATAGGCTCGTTGCTAGTGCCTTCTGAGATTACCTTCCATCCACTCTGTATATGTTTTGTATGTAGACAATCGATTTCATGTTGTCTCCTAATGGGAGCTCCTTGAAGGCTAGGACCACATCTTTTAATTGCCAGTTCCTGGCACATAGTGAGAGCTTAACAAATGTTTGTTTACTGACTGATAACTAGAAAGAAACAAGGTTATTTTTAAAAATTACTATTCATGGCTAGTTAGTTTTATGGAAAAGGCAATTAACTATTTAATGGTATGGTTTCCACAAATATGCAGCATATATTTTATAATTCTTTAAGTTAAAAAAAAACAACAGATGGTGATATATATGCACATGAAAGAAATTTTAAACAATGGCAATTGGTCATCGTAAAGAAAACCACTAGCGTAAGGGATAATATAACAATATTTCTGTTTCTGTACCTGACTTGCTTCAACTCTCTGCAGAGTAAATGACTGTGTTGATCCTGGCATTCTCTCGCCTTATTCCTTTCCTTTTAAGGTCCACTAATAAAACCTAGGGAAATGGAAACTTTAAACTATTTTTATCACTTCTTCTGTAACACTGGGGTTGGTCAATATTGGAAGGAGACCTGGATTCCACAGCCTGCTTGGCCTTTAACAAATTATGTGATCTTGGACAAGCTTTTTGACCTCAGTATCATACTCTATAAAAATGAAGGTGAATATATATGTTGAAGCCTAGCAATCTGTAAAAATTAAAAGACTTTCAAAATAGACTTCGACTGCTATGAAAATCTATGAAAGAAAGATTTTAGAACTTTCATACCACCAATTCAATTTTTTTCCCAGGTAAAAACTGATTTCATGCCAGTGTAGGGAATTCCATTTACCTGTGCAGATAGATCAGCAACTGTGACTTCTGTTGTTAGAGTTGCCTGGGGCAGGAAGGTTAAGTGACTTGCTTAAGTCACACAGCAAGTATGTTACCTCAGATTATTTGAAATCAGGTTTTTATGATTGTGTGGCAAGTAGGTATTCTGATTATTGTTTTCTCCCCCACCCTCATTTAAATGTCTTCCTTTCCCCCTTTTCCCTTCTCAGTTCCATTTTTATTCTCTAGAGGAATGTTTAAAGGTTAGAAAATATTGCTAGTAGGGAATACTTTCTGTTATGATGTCATAGAATGCATGACTATGAAAACACAACAGAGCATCCGCTTGTATTTTGTAGGACCTTTAAAAAGTGAGTACTAGCTGGTATTCTCCTTTTATGTGTTGAATCAAATTAATGTGATTTTTCAGCATACATTAATAAAGGCTTTAAACCTTTTAGACTGAGAGTAGTACTGTAACAGATAGGCATCTAATTCTGGTCATATTGTATTCAGGCATAAGGTTTGATCCTTTGGCAAGAATACTGGTGCCATAAGACAGGCCAGAAACCTTGGCCCAATTTTCTGATCTTTTCTTGTTGCTATACTGGTTATGAGAAACCACTGTCACTTGTGTACTGTATAAAAAAGTAGCAGATATATGGGAGACTTTCCTCACCCCATCTGCCTTGGGCTCCTATTTTGGCTCTTGTTAGTTCAACCCACTCTCTACCCAAATTTACCTGGTCCTCTTTGCTTTCACCGTAATTCTTACTTCCTAACTGGCCTTTTCTCCATCCTTGCCTGATGAGTATTGAGATCTACAGCATAACACTGGATGGTGGCTAGGTTTTAATATACTATATGAAGATAACTAAAGATTCAAGTTCTAATAATTTAATAACATAACATAAATATATCAAAACTGTTTATTATTCATCATTAAATATGCCTTATATTCTTGGTTACCTTTCTAAAATGTTTACTGTTATCCCTACCAATCAAGTTAACAAACATTTATTGAGTAGCTACTATATGGTGTATCCTAAAAGTCTTTTGGGATATTATATAATAAGACTTGAGAGAGTATCTTAGTAAGGACAGCAGTTTCATCCTTAAAGGTAAGGGTTGTTACCTTGGGGTCTATCAACTTGTCTTTTTACTATGCTGATAACTATTTCAGTAATAATTTCCTTTGTATTTTATTTTATCCATTTAAAAACATTCTGAGAATAGGTTTGTTGGCTTCACCAGAATGCTAAAAGGATCAGTGACACAAAAAAAGATTAAGAACTCCTGCTTTAAAGGAATAATAACGTATTTTTAGTTTATATTAGTGTAACTACTTGTATCATTTGAACTCAAATCTCATGTACCTTTTTTATGTGTTTGCTGTTTTTGTTTTAAAGATGAATGGAAATAAGAGCCCATTTTGAGAAAACCATGGCAAAACCAATTAAAAAATACAGTGTTTATTCTCCTATATCTACAGTATCTTCTCTTCTAGCAAGTTGCAGCTTGAACAGCAGTAATTCCTCTAACTCCGGTGGCTCTATAAAATATAAAGACAAGCTTTACAACTCTGCTTCTCAGGCATTACAGGCCTACATTGATGATTTTGAGCTAAATTGTCTGTCTCATGATAAAAGTATTAGAAAGTTTAGCCTTGGTCCGAATTCCGACTTCTCCAGATTTCTTTCTAAATCCCCAAGTGGTATGCTTGCATTATACTTTGCTATGTTTTTAGCTATGTATAATAATTTTATGCATTGTATTTTTAGAAGATTAGTTTTTGTGGGGAGGCTAGATAAGAATTATTTTACAAAACCTGATCTTGCATTTTATCATTATGTAATTTTTTGGTTCCCAAGCTTTTTCAGTTGTAGATTCTTTTTGAGCACATTGTACTGTGATTCTAATAACTTTTTGAGTTTTGACATTTCTATGATTCTTTTCATTGATAGTGGAAAGAAGAAGCTATAGGATAAAATGCATTGGGTAATTTAAGGGAGTAAGTCTTATATTTGATTACCTTCCTTCTGTGTACAGGAAGGAATTCTGAACTAGAAATGGATTTTGTTGTTGGCCTGGTCACTAGTAACAACCTTGAGCAAGTCATTTAACCTACCTTCTTTGGTCCTGATTTCCTCATCTATTAAAACATAATTTGGATTACGTGATCTCTGATTCCTTTCTAATTCAATAGTTCTTTGATTCTTTGCTTTTTTTCCCTCATCCCACACCAGTTTTGATAAGATAAAAATTAAGTGTTCAATTCAGGATAGTGTTTTGGTGGTATTAAAATTATATTGCTCTCCCAAATCCTTGGCCTGATCCATCTTTCTCTTCCAGAAAAATCAAAGGTTCTTTTCTTCATTTGACATAGACAGGGGACTGGAAGAGGGCATTTAAAGACTGGGAGGCTTTAAGGCAGAGAGTGAAAGAAAAAGGCCTGGTAGAATAACCAGAAACAGAAAAAACCTAAGGAAGAGAAAAAGAAAATAGAGTATAACTGGAATAAGCAAAACAAGGAAACATACCAGGCAAGAGAATGACAGTGACCTATGGCCCACAAAAACAATGAAGTGAAATGTCATTGTGAACCATGGATAACTTTATTTTTACTTGTAAAGTGTTTTTGGGGAGGAGAGAAGGGAAAAAAAAAACCAAGGTGTTTTTTTAAAAATCATAACTAGTTTTATAATTATATTTACATATGAAACATAAGGATAAGCACAAATATGCAATATGGTTTTTTTTTTAGGTTTTCAAGACTTCGACTACAAAAGATCAAAGTCATCTTGTAGAAACCAAATGATTGGTGACATAGACTCTATTAGCCTAACAACTGATGATCTAGTACATTTTCCACCAGATGGATCACTGCCTACCTATACTTATACTGGATCACTACATCAAAATAGCAAACAGGACAGAAAATTTCTTAAAAAAACTTCATCAGAAAATGAAAGGAATCCCAGTTTTCCAGATCCTTACAATTCTGTGGGAAATAAGGACCTGTTTACTCCTGTTCTATTCCCAGATACCAATGAAAAACATTGTGGTGTGATAAAAAATACTTCAAATAAACATTGCAAATATGTTTCTGCATCATCAGAATATTCTTCAGGGATGCCTTCTCCCAAAGAAAATTCAAAGCATCGTACTAGAAAAAATTACCCAAGATGGCTTACTAGCCAGAAGTCTGACCTTGACGTGTCAGGGATAACTAGTATTCCTGATTACAGTTATCCACTTTGGCTACACGATCAAGATCTGTTACCTGATTCATCCAGTCAAAGTAGTTCTCAGATGCAAAAAAAAGAACAACACAATTATGTGGAGAAAAGGAAAACTCAGTTTGATCCTAAATTGGATTGTTATGAACATTCACTTAAACACTGTAGCATTTCAGACTCCAGGAGTGACAAAGTATTAGTTAATTGTAAACACAGTTGTGAACTTGGTCAGTTTCAGTGTGAGAGTATGCCTTTCTCAGGGCAATCCAAAAAGCCATTCAGTGGTAACTCTTCTCTTTTTTTACAATTTTGCTATAAAAACTGAGAAACAAGCTAATAACACGTAGGAACTTTTATATTTAACCCTTTATGGAATTCAGTTTACATATTCTTTTGAATGCATTTTTTTTGTTTTTGTTTCTCTAAAATGTCATTTTAACATTACTTGTTCTTTTAAAAAAAATTATTACTGCTTATACACATTTCAAATTGTGTGTCTGTGATCTGAGTCATATTTTATCTTTCTGGAGTAACAATACTGTATTTTCACTTTTCTTAAATATCTAATTTTATTTTTCAAAAAAAATAGATGACAAAATTGAATTGCTTATCCTGAAGGCCAAAAGAACTCTAGAGCATTCTTCTGAAGGATTATCAAGTACCATGAAAAATGATGTCAGTCCCTGTTCACTAGATAAACTAGAAGCAGAAAGATCATGGGAAAATATTCCGGTTACTTTGTGAGTAAGCAATAATGACTATTGGAATGTGTTATTGAGATGGGAAAAAATAGAAATTAATTCACCAGTTTTTATTAAGCACTTACCATATGCCCGGCCCTGGGGAGACAAGCAGAAAAACTGAATACTGTCTATATTCACAGTGACCTTTTCATGGGGGAGACAAGTATAGATATAGATACACAGCATAAATATAAAATTAGTAGATACTTATATAAAATAGTTAAATACAAGTTAGTTTGAGAGGGAGGACACTAACAGTCAAGGAATCAATAAAGCCTTCATCCAGAGGATAGGGCCTAGGCTCCATCTTAAAGGAAAAGATGGCCTCTATGAGGCAGAAGTAAAGAGTACATTCCAGGTGTGGGACATGGCATCTTGGTGCAAACGCATGGAAACTGGGGAATGGAATATGTTGTTGAACTAGAGAAAAAGCCATTTTGACTGGATATCAGAGAGGGAGTAAGGTTGGAAAAATACAGTGGAGCAAGGTTGTGAAGGGCTTTAAAAGCTAAAGAGGAATTTAAATTTTATCAGAGAGGCAGTAAGTTACTGGAATGAATAGAGAAGTCATGAGATCAGATTTACATTTAAGGAAATTTGCCTTGGGAATGGTTTTTCAGATAAAAGAACTTTATGCAGAATGACCAAGAAGTCTAAGATTTTTAGGACACCCTGATATAAAACACAAAAATGGTAACTGTATACCTTTAGCACTAGGTCTTATGTATTTTAAATTGTGATTCTTATTTACACCACAAGATGATGTAATGTCTTATAACTCCATATAACATATAATTTCTACTTTTCCCCCTCTTTATTCCAAAAGGTACAAAAATAAGCTCATTCTTTCATATATCTATATATCTATATGTATATATATATCTATGTATATATATGTGTATATATATATCTATGTGTGTGTATATATATATATGTATATGCATATGTATGTATATATATATATATGTATTTTAGCAATTAGGGTTAAGTGATTTGCCCATGGTCACATAGCTAGTAAGTGTCAAGTGTCTGGGTCTGAGGCCAGATTTGAACTCAGGTCCTCCTGACTTCAGAGCCAGTGCTCTATCCAGTGCCCCACTTAGCTGCTCCTCATTCTTTCTTATTTTGAAGGAGTAGTCAAAGAGTATTTATTTTATAGATGCCTTTATGTGATATTTCATGTATTATCAGGGGCATGAAGAGATTGCAGTAGGTATAAAGAGTAATAGGACTTATTAATAACAATTAATAATTTTGGAGGAAAGAGGCCCTCATTGTAAAGGCCAAGCTTGATGACTTCAATAAAAGAAACTTTAAGTGGAGAAACAATCATAAATGCAGAAAGAGCTCTTCTAGCTCTGATCTGTGATTCTGTAACTTTCTCTTTATTTCCTTTGTTGTGGACTTGGAACTTATATTATACAACTCTGTTATATATTCTCCTATTCTCCATAAGGTATAAATAATAAGAATGAAGGAAATAGAGAAGGAAGAAACCATTGTTAATCTGAATAGAAAAGGATGTTGTATGTGCATTTGCTTTTCCCAGCAGGGCTGCTGACCCTCACTTAGTTCTCCACTGTGTTTATCTTCTCCGAATAGAACAGGTTTGTAACCTATTTTGTGTCATGGACTATCAGTCTGATAAAGCATATGGACTCCTCAGGACAATGTTTTTAGATATATAAAATAAAATACATAGGATTACAAAGGTAATCAATTATATTAAAATACATTTATCAAAATAATTTTAAAAAATAAGTTCATGGATCCTAGGTTAAGAACACCTAAAACAGAATGTGATTGCCTTTTGGTTAGTATCAATTTTTTGTGCATCTATGTGCAAGAACTGTGCTAGGTGCTGTGCGGGATGTAAACTTGTTGCCATCAAGGATTTTGCAATTTAAAGGAAAACATTACACATAAAAAGAAAATGAATAAATAGTATGGATAATACATGATGTGAGAATGCATAGAAGGGAAATTATTATTGGTTGGGGTAAGGGAAAGCTTTATGAAGGTGAGATTTGAACTAGGCCTTGAAGGAGGGAGATGGGCATTCTGGAAAGTGGAAACAGTGTACTCAAATATTGGAGGGGGAAAGTTCGAGAACTGTTTCCAGGGAGAGAGCAGGAATAGAAAGTAGGCCAATCCCTCTGGCAGTAGGGTTAATTCATGGCCTAGTATAGTTCTAAGTATTTAGTAGTTACTCCATAAATACCAGTTTGATTTTAAAAATAAAGAAAGGCTAAAGAAATATGGAATGATTGTCTTGAAAACAGGCTATGAGGGGATGATTAGTAATTGAAGTATGTGAAAGCAGGAGGTTGAATACAGTTGCCTTTTAAAGTCGCTGTTGGCTGTGGAATTTTATGAAAAGGACAGCTTTCATGTGGAACAAGGAAATTTGCCTGGGATTGTGAGGTACTCTGGGAAAATATATTTGGGAAATTAACCTGTTGGGCTATAAGATGTGAATACACTTTGGGGGCTGGTACAGGGAAGGGTCTGTTTGTGTCTAACAGATTTGTTATTAACATCTAAAATTAAACTATATTGCCTACCAGTATAATGTAAAAAATATCAAATTACCAGATTTTAGATGTTTTAGATGCTCTTTAGAATTTTGACTTAAATTCTTTTGTGTTTCTTTTCCCATTTTTGTTTACACGAACAATGTGACACTAAAATGATGAAATTGTTTTTATATGTTTATACCTTGAGAATTTGAAAGCTGTAAGGTTTTTTAAAATTATGTGAAAGAAGCACATCATTCTTCTTTCCCTTACAATTGTCCAACCCCATTCCATATTCACTGAGCTTTTGAAAACGTCTTCGGTGACATGTACTTATCAATTCAGACTGCACTCTTTTGGATTTTTTGATAGGTGAACAGAGGCAAACAAGGTTACTTTGCTTAAGGCAGCTCCATCTTCATATTGCGTGCTAATTGTGCAACTCGATTTCTGAAGTACTGTTTAAAAGATCATTAGATATATCCATTTACCCAGTTAGAATGTCCACAAAGATTTGTCAACTTAATTTAAACTACCATCTATGTTTAGAAATAATAAAACTGTGTTTCTTCTTAAAATGGCCTTTCCTAAATTATATTTTTTCAGTATTTTATATCATTGTTTCTAGTTTGAGATTAGTAAGGCTTTACCATAATTTGTGGCTACTAAAATTATACTCCTAGATGGTAATATACTTGTTTACCCTGTATTTCTGTCTAGCAAATCACCTGTGCCTGTGGATTGTGGTGAAAGACCTCAACAAATCGTAAAAGTGAAACGTGTTCATGAGTTCCTTGAGGATTGTTTAAATAAGGGTAATCCTGTAAGTAAAGCTGAATTTTTATTGACTTGAAAGGGGTTTGTGACAATATTAATTTTTTTGTTTGGGATGAGTTTCTCTTGAGTCATCAATTAAGTTATTTTAAAAGTGAGCAAAACTTATCCCAACTTAACTAATAGAATTGTTTAAGATACTATAAAATGTATAAGAACTGTGATTTTAAGTGTACTAACAGACTCATTTTTTTTGCTGAATTCCTGGAAACAGTGTTAGGTAGTGAATCTTGGTAAAGTGAATTTTATTTTCTTATTGTCACAGTGTTATCGTTGGGATATTATGTTTCTGACCAAGGATTTGGCATCATATTAATCATAGATGTTACTGACACATTTTTAAACCTTTATAATAATTTCAAATCATAAATTGTGCACCAGCCATATGAAGTGGTTATAAACATTGTACACAGTTGTTATATGAGAAACGAAGTATATAACAAAAATTATATATAGAACATGAAAATTCAGCTTTGATCAATGTGACAATGAAACTACTATGCTAGTCATTGCAAATATACATTGAAGTCACATTTCTTGACACATTATGATTAATATTCAAATTAAAAATGACTATTTAGAGATTTGTGTCTCAAAACTGTTTAAGGAGGTTTACATTGATGCCCTCCTCTTGATAGTTTTCTCAGAAATTGTTAAAAATCATTCCATTAACCTTAGTAGAATTATGCTCAAAGTGCAATAGTAGATGCACAATAAGTGTTTGTTGATGATGTTTTTCCCACCCTAAAACAATTTTTGTGAAGGTAAGGAATGACTCAGTGTTTCTGTTCCTTACTTTGTGTACCTCCTCAATTTATTAAAAGCTAAAGGGACAGTTTTTCAGTGTCTACCTACGTTCTGACTACCAGAGAAAAGGGGTTGCTAAGTCATTCTTGCTTTTTCATTTCTATTGGCCCTATATGACACTTTGTTGACAGAGTTAGCTATTTAGAGTAGTTAGCACTTCCATTGGAGGTTAGAAAATGATGACTTGATCATTATCACAGACTTTTAAAAGGAATTTATAAAACATTGGATTGCAGAGGCAATCCTGTTTTGAAGCTGTCTTGTTTTTGCAATTAGTGAAGGCAGTGAGAATCAGGGTGTGAGTATTATTAGGGGGCATTGAGAATGAATTTTAAAATATTATTAACACAAGTCTTATCCAGACATATTGATATAATAGACCACTTGAAAGTCAGACAATCCATGTTCTAGTCCTGACTGCCACTAACTAGTGTGACCTTGAACAAAGTCTTTGGACTTCCATTTCCTCATCTCTAAGATGGGAATAAAAATATTTTGTCTACCTACCTGATGGGGTGGTTGTGACAGTGAGGTAATATGCACTTTTATGATGGTAAAGCATTACTTAAGTATATGCTGTTATTGTGAGTGATAATAAATAATGGTAAAACAAGGGGGTTGGACAAGGTGATTTTTGCAGTCCTGGTCCAGCTCTAAAATTCTATGATAAAAGTAGTAGGTGAATTTTTTGAATTAATGCTATATGACTTTGGAAGGTCAAGCATATGTTTTGGTTTTAGAGAAGCACGCTCTCTGGAGGTAAACATCATGGTCCAGTTGAAGCTCTGAAACAAATGTTGTTTAACCTTCAAGCAGTGCAAGAAAGTTTTAATCGGTATACATATGCTGAGCAAGATGAAGAGATTAAACAAGTAAGCAAATATTTGACTTTTTTTTTAAGATCTATGAACTTGTTTTAAAAAATCTTCCCTTAGTTTGTATTCCTATATCCAGTAAATTCAACTTAACAAACATTTATTAAGGACCTATTTAGAGCAATGTGTCAGTTGTTAGAAAAAATAAATAGATAATGCATGTCCATAACTTCATTGAGCTTATATTTTTATTAGGGAGATATGACCATAAGAAAATGAATGTAATGAAATAATGTGAGAAGTGAAAAGTAACCTAGTTTTAAGTTTATTTTACTATGCCTTTTTTAAAAAATGGAAATGTATAACAAAAATTTTATAAAATTGTGGTATATTTGCTTTAGATTTTAACTTCTTGATATTTAAAACAATATTTATACTGTTGGTATAAATAGAAGGTACCCCATAGAATAGACTGCAAATGTTCAGGATCTATTGCCAGAGCTACAGAGCTATGTAAGACCCAGCTTGTAATCTACATCTTGAAAGAGCCTAACATCTGGAAGGGTGGGTGAAATTGCTGTGACTGTTATGATAATTATGTGAGGGATATGGTTGACTATTTATATAGGATTTTTGATAGTTTGGGACACAGTCAGATTTATGATATTAAGTCTGATCATCCGCAGTTGGTACCCGAGCCAAGGATTGTATTAAGATGTCTAAGAGATTGCTACAGCCGTTTCCTGTTAGCCTGCTACCTCTTCATCTTCATAGAATTTCAGAGTTAAAAGGAATCCAAGAAGTCATCTAGCTCAGTCCATATTTGAGCAAGAATCCCCATTGTATCATCCTCAATTAGTTATTCAGCCTCTGTTTAAAAGACCTCTTAGGGCAGCCTACCCTAATTTTGGATGTTTCTAATTATTAGGAAGTTTTACCTTATATCAATTTTAAATCTGCCTCAACTATTTTTAGTTATTACTCCTAGTTCTGCTTTCTGGGGCTAAGGAAAAGAAGTCTAGTGCCCGTTTCAAATGATAGTCCTTCAAATAGCCCTTGAAGTCTCTATTATTTCTCACTCTTACTATATTACTGAGCCATCTTTTTTACATTTTCTGGCTGATCCTTTTTATCTCAGTCTTTTAAAAAATGTAAACAAGCATTAACTATGTGATGCCACCCTCTTAGACTTATGTCTCTTTAATAATATTTCTCTTATCATAGTATAAAATTGCATTGCTTTTTTAGCTGCCAATTTATGCTTTGAAATAATTGAGCTAATCAGCTATTAAAATTCAGTAACCTTGGGCTTCTTTATAGATCTGCCTTCTGTCATAAGTACTAGTTGACACTTTGTTGTTGTTTTAAATTAAAACACCTGTATGTCAAAAACAGTTTTAAAATGACAATAAGAGGAGTAAATCACAGCATATTAATTCTCTCTGCAAATCTTTTATTTCCCCAGGACCCAATTGTAGATGTTGAAAAGATTGGAATCTCTAAAAACTATGTATTCATGATAAAAGGAGCTGAAGTAACACAGTACTTCTATAAGTACTGGAGTTATAGTCAGACTATATAGGAAGTAAGCAAAACTAGACCTACTGTGTTATTTTTTAGTCATACCAGACTCCTCATGACCCCATTTGGGATTTTCTTGGCAAAGAGACTGGTGTGGTTTGCTTCCATCTCTAGCTCATTTTACAGATGAGGAAACTAAGGCAAACAGGGTTAAGTGACTTGCTCAGGGTCACACAAATAGTAATCTATAGGCATTTCATTTTCAGTTTTTTGCTACTACAAAAAGTGCTGCTGTAAACATCCTGATATGTATGGTACTTTTCTTTCCGTTATTAACCTCCTTGAGGTATATGTCCATAGCAAGATTGATGGGTCAGAACATATGTATAATTCAGTAATTTTTCTCAAATAATTCTAGATTGTTTTCTAGCTCCAACACTGATTATTTATATCCTTTGTCATCATTATCAATTTGAAGGTTGTGGGGGTAATACTGAAAGTTCTTTTAATTTGTATTTTGCTAAAGAGTAGGTTATTTGTCTTCCTCCAAGTAATTTGAGTTCTTGGATTTTCAAATATTAGGCTAATTAATATGTTTGCCTCTATTTCTTATTCAGTCTATTCCATTGATCTAATTTTCTGTTTAACTGATATGAAATAGTTTCGGTGATTATTACTCTTTATTTTGAGATTTAATGATAATAGGTGTGTCCCCTTTAATACAATAGCATTTCTTATGATTGACTTTGAAATTCTTGACTTTATTGGCCCTCCAGATGAATGTTGTTATTTGTCTAGTTCTGTAAAGTTATCCTTTGGTAGCATTAAAATCCATAGTAATGACTTAGTTTTCATCCAGATCTTGCCTTATTGAGAATTGTCCATTGTGAGACCAGCAATTGCTGTCAGCCTATGATCCTTTCCTATGTATAGGGATCAGCATTTTGTTTGCTCCCTCAGACTATGATATTTGCAAATCCTCTGGTCAGACTGTGAGCTCCTTGAGAATAGACACTTTTTTTGCCTTTCTTTGGTATCCTCAGCACAGTGCCTGGCACATAGCAGGCTCTTAATAAATGGTAACTATTCTCTTCTCATATAGTGCTGATTTCAATAGAATTCCATTTTCTAGTCCAGTCTCTGGTTTGGGTACCATACTTCCTTCTTGCCACTGATGGCCCTCACCTCTAACCCTGTCAGTATTACTCCTTTATTTTTAATATTACTAATAAATCTATTAGCCATTCTCTGCCTTTAGCCCATAGTGCTTAAAAAGCAAGTGTCTAGTTTCTGAATACACACAGATAGATTTATTTCGTTTTCCTTAAGAAAAGATTTATTTAGCTGTGGCATGGAAAGGATATACTTCAAGAATACAGGGGGGTTTTTTTGTTTGTTTTTTGGCGAGGCAACTGGGGTTAAGTGACTTGCCCAGTCACACAGCTAGTGAGCATTATGCGTCGAAGGCTGAATTTGAACTCAGGTCCTCCTGACTCCAGGGCCATCGCTTTATGCACTGAACCACCTAGCTGCCCCAAGAATACAGTTTTTGTTTAGGTAGACAGCCTCTTTCAGTATTCCTATGTAAAGTGATTACAGTTAGTACCTGGGATATCATGGCCACAGTGCAGGTGAATATACTTCTGACACAGTCACCAGTTCTCCTTACAGGTCTTCAGTAAGGGTAGCTAAGAGCTTTTGTATGTAGCCTGACCCTTTGCCAGGAAGTATACTGAGATGCGCCTTGTACCACCCTCCTCTAACTGTTCTCCAGTCCACCACCCAAGATATCTCCTCCCTGAGAGTCCCCCTGGGGAACTGGCTACATTTAGCTACCTCAAAGGAGACAAAGGATGGTCCCCATCTTGGGCTTCTAACTGATTTTAATGGTGCAAAAGCCAATCCTCTCTTAAGTTCCCCAGTCTGATAAAAAAAAAAAACCCACTGAATTGGCTTCTTCAGACCACACTCTCAGCAACCATTGTTACATTGGCCAGTGAGATTATTTAAACTTCTGCAGCTGTCCAAGTTCCTTGGTAATAAAAGCTCATTCAACTCTCCAGTCCCTTTGTGTAGAAAATCATGCTGGTGAAAGTGGGATGGAAGGAAGTAGTGATGGTAGTAATTGGCTAAGCCTGACACTTTCTTATCACCAGTAAGGATTCCCAGTTCTTATACTCTCCTTCCAATTCTCTTCTCTTATAGTATTGATTTCAACAGACTTCCATTTTCCAGTCCAATCTCTAGGTTGGAGACAGTAATGCTTGCCTGTTATTGATGGCCCTCCTCTCCAGCCCCTGTGAATATTACTCCTTTTATTCTTGCTATTACTAAATCCATTAACCATTCTCTGTCTTTAGGACACAGTGCTTAAAAAACAAGAGCAATGTCTAGTTTCTGCACAAAGATAAATTACTTTTATTTTCCTTATTTGGACCTTCTAATTTTCTAGAGCCATTAATACCTATGGAATACTCCCTCTCAGGATATCTTTATCCTCTATTAGCTGCCTTTAGCATCTAGCAGGCTGGGTGGAAGAGGGTGGCTTTCCATAGTTATTAGGGCTTACCTGCAACACTTGCAAGTTATTGTATTGGGCAATCCTTTCACTTGTGATTGAGCCCTCCTTTTATTACTCCACTTTGAGAACTACAGACTTCTTGTAATTGAATCCTGCCAACTATATGGCCAATTGTAAGCCAAACTTACTAATTGGAACAAATTGATTCAGTTTGAGGTTTACTTAGCCAAAGCATAGGAGGAATATTCAGCAAGGAGACAGTGTTGATTTAGATCTCTGTCTCTATAAAGAAAAAAATTAATTTGGTCAGGAAGGCATGTTAACTTGCATAGCTGTGGAATATCCTGTAAGTCTAAAGGTCACTGACCTTGTGGGCAGGCCTTTGTATGCCTCAGGAGACCAGGAAGCCACTTCAGCAGCATGAGCCCTAGTACATTGGACTAATCAAGGCTTGTGGACAGTGTTTTTGTCTTTTCGGAAAAAACTAGCCTAGCCCATATGGCAGGGACCTTAGTAGATATTATTCCTATCACAGTGGGCAAGTCATTTAACTTCTCAGTGCTTCAGGTAATTTCCTCAGACTTAACTGCTAATTTAGAGATAGTGGAGAGAATTTCCAGGATTTCTCATATTCTAAGTCACTGATTCTGGCAGTCACACACTGTGATTCACATCTATGCAACTAGAAGCTGAGAGAAGAGAAAGGAATGATCAGTCTCAGAGATGTCAGGTGGCCTAATCAAAATAGTGAAAGAAAAGATAAAAAACATAGTTAGAACTATTAGTGAAACACAGGGAGAATTGATGGCTTAGAAGAGATTATGGAAAATCTTAGCATAGCAGTGGGATTGCGTGAAAAGAAGAAAAGTGTATTTCAAGAAATCATAAAGAAAATTTCTCAGAAGCATTAGAATAAGAATTCAAAGTCTAAATTAATAGAATTACATATGTCATCATTGGAGAGAAACCTTAGTCATAATACCTATGGATGGGATTATTCAGGTCTAAAGCTTTG